TATGTAGTTATTTACTGCAGTGTTATGTAGTTATTTACTGCAGTGTTATGTAGTTATTTACTGCAGTGTTATGTAGTTATTTACTGCAGTATTGTATATTTCTTAATTAGGTCAAGTTTGTTAATCATGTTTTCAAAACCTTCTATATCCCTCTTGATGTTTATCTGCTTGTTTTATCAGTTATCGAGGTGAGTTTAATTCTCCCACTGTGAGTATGGAATTGCCTATTTCTCCTGAGTCCTGTCAGATTTTCCTTTATATATTTTGAAGCTATGTTATTAAAGGATGATATAAATTTAGATTTTAAAAAATACCTTCTGGATAAATCAACCCTTTATTCTTATGAAATGTTTTCCTTATTTCTAGGAATCCTTCCTAACTTCATGTTCATAGTGGTGTAGATAGATACTCCAGCTTTCTTTTGGCTAGTGTTTTTATGGGGTACCTTTTTCAACATTTCATCTCCACCTTCATGTGCTATTATTTTTAAGGTGTGCCTTTTTAAAAGCAGCAAATAAATGGACTTCAGTCTTGAATTTTGTAATAAGCACGAACCCTGACAAAAGGTAGAAAGGAAACTATTGATCAATGAGATATGCTGAACACAAGAAGTGCACTATGTTTCCCCAGTGCTTTCTGTTGTGTTGATTAACAAACTGTAAACCAGACACCACCATTCACTCTTCAGCGGAGTTAGCTGTGACTCTCAATTGGGAGCTAACTGAAGGATACACAGGTCCCAGAGCTGGTGTGGTTGTGAAAAGATCCAAGGCAGCCAAATGAGGGATGAAGGTGTGATTAGTGTATCCCAAGGAAAAGACAAGTTTAGAAAAGCTTAGACTTAGGGTTTGTGTACATCTCATCATACAGATATGACACCCCAGTGTTCTGATTGAACGGAGTTAACCGAGGTGCGTGAGGTCAAAGGAAACAGAGGTGAGAAACGAGGGATCTGGGAACCAGAGCTGATCTCTGAACCTCCTGAGAGGTGCAAGGTACTCTATCAGCTTACAAGCAGACTCAACGCTAACCCTAGGTTGGCATTAAGTTTAGGAGCTTACATGTAGAAGCCTCCCATGTTTTTCCTTTTGATTCTATTTATACTGTAATTGAAGGGTAATGAGTATTGTAGGATAGGAGTTACAGTTTTGGTTTGGTTTGGTTTGGTTTGGTTTTTTTGCGGTACGCGGGCCTCTCACTGTTGTGGCCTCTCCCGTTGCGGAGCACAGGCTCCGGACGCGCAGGCTCAGCGGCCATGGCTCACGGGCCCAGCCGCTCCGCGGCATGTGGGACCTTCCCGCACCGGGGCACGAACCCGTGTCCCCTGCATCGGCAGGCGGACTCTCAACCACTGCGCCACCAGGGAAGCCCAGGAGTTACATTTTATTTCATAATTCTTTCAGGTTTTGTGTAGTCTGTTCAGGATTTTATACTGTCTCCACAAGAATCTTGTGTTAGCCAGCAGCACAATCTATGTGATAGCTACTTCATTGAAAGGTTATTTTTTAATCTCATATGTTTCCAGAATGAATAGGTTGAAGAGTCTCTCCTACACCCACATCAGTAAACAGCTTACTGATCAAAAGCTAGGTGTCATTTTTTTCCCTCTCTAAATCACAAGGAAATCTTGCCTTGTTTTCTTGCCAAAAGTTTATTGCACTTAAGTTATATCTTTTGCAAAATCAGTGATAGTTTAAGGAAATCTGGCTGATTTGTACTTACCACAGCTTGAAACAGAATTCTTAAGAGTCTGACCATAGAATTAAAAGCTTTGAAATTCTTCTGAGGTGTTAGCAATCTTAATGATCCTGGTTTTATTTTTTAATACTGTAAACAAATAATAAAAGTAATGTCTACTGATTAAGTGGTTTTATGATTAAATATATATTTCACATCGTGCCTAAAATAGGTATCAGAGTGAGCAAGAGAGAATTAAATAATAGAGAGTGAGCCCAAAGTATGGATGGCATATTTATTTGCATTAAATAGGAAGAATACGTTGTTACTGATTGTTTATAGAAAGCATGTTCTTTCACATAAGCTTCACAGAGACTATCCGGAACAGAATCCCTTGGAATTAAGTTTAAAGTGACATGTGGGTAGATACCTAGGAACTGCTACAGGACTGTAAGCAGTTTGGAAGTTAAATGCCAAGGAGGCAAATGGGGCCTTGTATTTCAAACTGTGCTTGTGAAAGGAATGTGTTCAAATCTGCAATATTATAATACAGTGTTAATTATAGGTCGAGACTTCCTGGTGAAATTTTAATGTTTTACCACCATCCAAATACAGGTGTTACACATTTAAACTACTCAGCCTCATTTTGTGTCCTTGGCGTTTATGTATTTATTAAAATTAGATAGGGTTTTTTTTTTTTTCAAGTCATTTTGCTTTCTGGGCTTAGACCTCATCTTTCTTATGAAATTTTCTTTTTTCTTTTTTAAAGAATAATTCTTAAATCGACACATGTTAGTGTGTTCTATAGGTGAGCACTTTTTTTTTTTTTTTTGCAGTACTCAGGCCTCTCACCGCTGCGGCCTCTCCCGTTGCGGAGCACAGGCTTCGGACGCGCAGGCTCAGCGGCCATGGCTCACAGGCCCAGCCGCTCCGCGGCATGTGGGATCTTCCCAGACCGGGGCACGAACCCATGTCCCCTGCATCGGCAGGCGGACTCCCAAGCACTGCGCCACCAGGGAAGCTCCGAGCCCTTTGTTTTGATCTTACCTCTGCTTCCCAGGTAATCTGCCGGGCTGGGTTAGTCATAAAAGACCCCCACCTGGGGAGAGCCAGATTATTGAAACTGGTGAATGTTTTCCAATCAAATGATGTGAATCCGCTAAAAAACTGTAATTTGGATTTTTTCATAATTGACATTTCAGCAGGTTTTTTTCCTGACAACCAACAATGGCAAGCCAAGTGACTTTACTTAAGGCTAGACATAGAAGGAGCTGGAAGGACCCTCCCCGTGAGCACGAAGGGTGTAGCAGAGTGGGACACATCAATTAATCTGGTGGCTGTAAGAAATTGTTCAGCTGTAGGTATAATAGGAGAGAGGTCAGACAGCCCTATTTTTCTCCACTTATGATTGTTATTGTTCCTTCAGAATTCCATTCCTCTTCTGAGTTTTATACTGATACCAAGGCAGAGACTGGGAGAAACAGGAAAAGCACATGGGTCTACATCCAGATCATGCAGTTTGGTTCACAAGGGCTCCGGGTCATAAAGTCACAGTTCTGGAACCTTCCTCCTCCTTCCAGGCCCCTCCTGCCTGCAGCTGTGGCTCTGGGATTTCCTGAGTATGAACAGTTCCTGGCTTTCTCTAAGGAACGTACTAAATTTCCGGGAAAACTTAGGACAACTACTTACCTCCCAGCTTCATGTTTCTTATCTGTAAATGGAAAGGACAGTTCTTAGTTTTCTTATTCACAAGATGGTTGTGAGGATCCCCTGAGAAAACTGATTTGGAAGAGCTGTGAAACGATAACCTGCATCTCTGTGATACAGGCATTACCCCGCTAACCTGTCCCTCAGAGATGCACCGGGGCCAGCTGCCCTGGGTGACAAGGCGGGGAGGGCCCTGCGCTGGAGAGCACAGGATGCAGGTGCTGGCTCTGAGAGGACACAGAACAACTGGTGTTCACTCGGACAAGCATCTCAACATTCCCAGCCCAGCTCCTTTTAGGTCAAAATTTCCATCAAATGTGATTACTACCTGCAAATTATTCATGCCACTCTTTCTGTTAAACCAGCCTGTGAAATTCAGTTGTCAGTCGTTTAGAATCCTCAAAAAAGTGTTCACACGTTCTTCGCTGTGTTTCCCCAGCGCTCCGTGACCTGTACAGATCACCATGGATTTGTATCCATCTGAGACTAAAATTCAGAGGCCTTGGCTGACGCTATGTGAATCTGCACGTCCCCCCAACCCTGCCCCGCTTTCACAGCAGGAGATGCTAAGTGCTGATTGCGTTCCTGTCGCCTGAAGCTGTACGCCGTGATATCATACTTCTCCCGAGAAAGATGGATGTTTAAATCAGCATCCTTCAGTGCCCTGGGTTCCTATTCTGTCTGCTGTCTTTTTAAGCCAAGATCATTTCCTGAGATAAAATCACCTCGTGGGATGAGATGATGATTAAGTGAATGTTCATGGAGCTCTTAGCACAGTGCCTTGCATACAGTAAACACCTGGTAGACGGCATCTGCTGTTGTTGTAATCATTAGCCTTTGAAATGGACATTTTAAATACTTTGCATAATGATAGAAAGTTGGGAGCAGGCTTAAATGTGTCATAATGGCTGTAACCTGGGCTCTCCAGCTCCGTGACTTGTGTTTTGCCATCTTGATCAAGTTGCTTTTCCTCTCCCTGTGCCTCAGTGTCTCCATCTGTAAGGTGAGATAATACTATTACTCGATAGGGCTATTTTGAGGATCAACTAAGTAAATACACGTGAAGTATTAAATGTACAGCCCGGTACACATTCAGCACTCAGTATGTGCTAAGTATGGTTAGAAAACCAAGAAAGAAAGAGGAATTCCTACTTCCAGAGGTCAACATTTGAATTTTTTCCTGCTTTTCTGGACACTGAATTTGTAATTAACCACTTCTCTACCCCTACATGTAGAGACGAAGCTTCTGAATTCCTCATCTGCGGTACCTGCTTGCTCATCTCTCTGGTAGCACCTAGTGACTCATGATAGTTTGGGATTCAAGTCCTACTCTGAGTCTTGAATATTCTCATCTGTGGAAAATAGTAATGCCTGCCTCACAGGGCTACTGAGTGTATCACAAGAGCTAATACCTAGAAAGTTCTTATAGTGTTTGACACACGCAATAAATAAATACGAGGGCCACCTATAATTTTATTTCTTTGGATGGGAAAGCATTCCCTACCATTCCAACAAGGCTTTCAAGGAAAGGAATGCAATCCTAACAAAACAGCCAAGTTTATCTTTGAAAAGAATCCTTGACAAGGAGGCCTCTGTATCTCTTTCTGCTCTTTTAGACGTTTCTCCTTGTGATTGGCGTGGCAGGCGTGATGGTGGCTGTGATTCCTTGGACTGTGATGCCCCTGGTTCCCCTTGGCATCATTTTCTTTGTTCTTCGGCAATATTTCTCAGAGACGTCAGGAGATGTCAAACGCCTGGAATGTGCAGGTGAGTTCCCGGGGCTCTCGGGTTGGGATGGCATCTCAGCCTGGCTTCCATTTGTGCTGTAATGGACCAGACCCCTGAAATTCTGCAGACTCTGTCTTCTGGAATTTCTCACTAAGTTAACATTAGGTAATTAGATATTATGGCCGCTGTGAGTCCATGTGGCCCTTAAGGCAGATGGAGCTGGTGGCGGGTCAGCTGCAGCTTTGCATTTTAGCATGAGGAGGAGGAATTGAGCACCGTGAGGACAGGGGACTGTTTCTGTCTTGTTCATGACATGCTTCCTCACACAGAGCATCTACTCCATAAATACTTTTCTTAAAAATACAATATTTCATCATGCTGGAACTAATGAAGGGAAACGGGATTTTTCTTCTCCAAAAGTTACTAGAAGTGACAAGGAAAGGAAAAGATTAGGAAAAAGAAAGGAAACATCAGGAAACATATGTCAGAAGTAATATATTTGAAAAATACATTCTTTCTCATGTTCAAAGATGGCAATTAAGTTGCACTTGTTAAATGCTTTGAAAAGGTAAGTGCTGTTATTTTCAGGTTTGCAGTTATCATCACCAGTATTTGCTGTGGTACCACCCTGTTTGTGGTCCCCCTTCCCCAATGCTGTTCATATAAATGGCTGCTGAAAATAATCCCCTGAGAAGGACACAGGAGGGGGAATCCGTTCCGTACGCATGTAGTTTATTACTCCATTCAACTTCCTAGTTTTAGAATAATGGGAAACACATTTTATGATTAATTATTCTATTCTGCAGGTAATCAGAGAGGATGAAATAATTCAGAGCTTATCTCGCTATTAATGCACAAACATATTTCATTAATATTGAAACAAAAAATTATAAGTAGAATTGTTATATATTTTTTAAAAAGGTATAAGGACAATAGCCAAAAAGGAAGGAAGGAAGATGTTTACATCAGAAATCCCAACCATGGGCAGTTATTGCAAATTAATACCAACTTAACTTTCTAGAAACCAAGCCGAGAAGAGAAACATATTGATCCCAAGGTTCTTCGTATCTACTAAGTGGAAAAACATCTACATTCATGGAGACAAAGGAGTTTTTTTGTTGTGGTATTTGTGTGTTTTTTTAAAGCAATGAATTCTTTTTTTTTTTTTTTAAAGAAGATGTTGGGGGTAGGAGTTTATTAATTAATTTATTTATCTTTGCTGTGTTGGGTTTTTGTTTCTGTGTGAGGGCTTTTCTCTAGTTGTGGCAAGTGGGGGCCACTCTTCATCATGGTGCGCGGGACTCTCACTATCGTGGCCTCTCTTGTTGTGGAGCACAGGCTCCAGACGCTCAGGCTCAGTAGTTGTGGCTCACGGGCCCAGTTGCTCTGTGGCCTGTGGGATCCTCCCAGACCAGGGCTCGAACCCGTGTCCTCTGCATTAGCAGGCAGATTCCCAACCACTGCGCCACCAGGGAAGCCCCTAAAGTAATGAATTCTTAAGAGGCATTTATCCTAAGTATTTACGTAAAGGATAGTGGGCATCAGTTTCATAAAAGCTGTAGAAAAAACGTTCAGTCATCAAGAGAACCAGCTAAAGCCCCATGAGGTCTGGTTTTGTGAGGTGTTTGAATGGACTGTGGAGCAGTAGAGTCCAGATGTGTGCGCTCTTCTGCCCGTGTGACTTGGTAGGATGGTAGGACCTGGGGAAGCAGAAGAGGAAGTGATGAGCTCCATCCAGTCTTCTGTGTACGCAAGGCTTCAGGTGTTTTATGATTTGAGGCCACTCACGAAATGGAGTCATTCAATAGTGTTGTTGCAAAGCAGATCTGGTACATTCAAAGAGGAGTTGTACCAGAAGGAATGCTTGACAGAGATGTTTGCCTGGGGCAAGGGCCGCCTCCCATCCGTATGAAAGTGGAGAGGAGGGCACCTCCTGAGGCTTTTTTAAAGAATCAGTACAGGAATTTTTCAGTGTTTGTTATGGGGGTTTTGAAAACTTGGGCACAGCTCCTGTGGAGTATTTGTGTTTTCGGCACCCCTAGTAGGCTGTGACAGTGTTAGACCGTAAGTTCAATCTGGATACCCCCTCCTCCACCCCCCCAGATAACTAAATGTGGTGGTCAGTTCATTAGAACTGTTTATGTTTTCTCTCTAGATAGTGGGTCTGTGTCATAAATAATAACACTGCTGTTTTCTCTGTACAGTAAATGATAGTATGTCTTAAGGCCACTGCTAGAGCCACTAGCAAAAAGAAGGCCGCCTGATTGCTATGGCCAGACGACATAAACCTGCTTCATTTTTGTGCTCTGAAGAACTACTAAAGTCCTGAGGTTTATTTTCATTTATTTATTTATTTATTTTAACATCTTTATTGGAGTATAATTGCTTTACAATGGTGTGTTAGTTTCTGCTTTATAACAAAGTGAATCAGTTATACATATACATATGTTCCCATATCTCTTCCCTCTTGCATCTCCCTCCCTCCCACCCTCCCTATCCCACCCCTCCAGGCGGTCACAAAGCACCGACCTGAGGTTTATTTTCAGATCCTGCTGCCTAGCTGCCACTGGAAGCTTAGGTTAACTTTTGTCATCTTAATGACAAATCTGCAGCTGATTATAATGGGGTTTTTTTTTGCATATTTTTGCAAAAGCGAGCATAGCAGTGGTCAGTCAGGGAGCAGTACATAAAACCAAGATGAAGTCTGGTTGCCTTTCTCTAGCCAGCTTTATCCATTTGGCAGTGCCTGAATGCTGAAGCCGTATCCAAGGCCACAGACTCACACTGTCCGTCCCTGACAACAGCAGGTTATAGCCTAGTTCACGGTGGGGAATGAAAATCGTAAGGGTCCTCCCTGCCCAGCAGCCTGAAGCCCACCTGTTCCTTGATGTGCAGGAGCCAGACCCTGGTGCTCGTGTTCAGTGTGCTCTTAGAGAAGATGCCAGGAAATGAATGTGACACCAGGCCCCAGACCCACATGAAGTCACTCAAAAGAGAACGGACATTAAGGCCACGGTCAGATTCTAAAAGAGTGATGTGAGTGTCACATGCAGAGTGACCTCCAGAAGCCTCAAGTATCCAGCAGGCAGTTATAAAAACATCCATCATGGGCTTCCCTGGTGGCGCAGTGGTTGAGCGTCCGCCTGCCAATGCAGGGGATACGGGTTCGTGCCCCGGTCTGGGAGGATCCCACATGCCGCGGAGCGGCTGGGCCCGTGAGCCATGGCCGCTGAGCCTGCGCGTCCGGAGCCTGTGCTCCACAACGGGGGAGGCCACAACAGTGAGAGGCCCGCGTACAGCAAAAAACAAACAAACAAACAAAAAAAAAACATCCATCAGGTTCATGGAGCGGAGTCAAGACCATTCAGAGACGCCTTGGCTGCCCGGGTCCTATGGGCAAAAGGGCAATGCGATACCCAGGCTCCGTGACCTGCAAAGAGACTCTTGATGCAGGTTCAGGGGAAAGTCCCAGGATGCAGGGAGACAGCAGACTGTCCCTTCACCTTCGTATCTCACCCCAGTCCTGTGCCTGGCACTGTTCCAGTTTGGGGGATATGCTGATTTTATCCCAGCCCTTAAATTACTAATCTGAGGTGGAGACAACACAGATAGCTCATCAGAATTCAGTGTGGTGAGCACTCTCACAGAGAATTAAATTTAAAAACGCTGCTGCCTCAAAAATTAGTGGATAGTACTCAGCCATGAAGAAGAATGAAATATTGCCATTTGCAGCAAAATGGTTGGACCTAGAGAATATTATTCTTAGTAAAGTCAGTCAGAGAAGGGCAGTATAAATACTATATGATATCACTTATATGTGGAATCTAAAAAACAATACAAATGACTGTATATACAAAACAGAAACAGACTCAGAGACATAGAAAACAAACTTACGGTTACCAAAGCAGGCAGGGAGGGAGGGAGGAACAAATTAGGAGTATGGGATTAACAGACACACACTACTATACATAAAGTAGGTGAGCAACAAGGATTTACTGTATAGCACAGGGAATTCTATGCAATAACTTGCAATAACCTATAATGGAACATAATCAGAAAAAAACTGAATCACTATGCTATATACCTGAAACTAACACATTATTGCAAATCAACTAGACTTCATTAAGTTTTTAAAAAATTAGTGAACAGTTTCCAACTGGAGGGATATCAGGGAAGAATTTGCAGGGAAGCATGTTTGAGGAGGACCTTGATGAATGAGCTAGTAAAGAACTTCTTTATCTAAATCTAGCTGTGATTTGAATTTGGTCAAAGATAGGTTCAGAGAGAATCTTCATTTCCAGGTCATAAAAGTGAAGCTTGGTGTGACCAGGAGTTGGAGGTTTCATGTGGAGGACCCTCTACCGAAGGGGCATCATCCCTCTTCTCCCAGGCAGCCCACCAGGAAGCCCTGCGGCAGGATGTGCAACCACAGAGCACGAGAGGCAGTTGGTTTCCTTGCATCCAGCCTCCCTAAATTTCTTTGTTGTTTGTCTGTCTCTGCTTCGCCAGCACAGAGCCTAGTGTTTTCCCACTTAGCATCTTCCTTCCGGGGACTCTGGACCATCCGGGCGAACAATGCTGAACAGAAGTTTCAGGAACTGTTTGATGCGCACCAGGACTCGCATTCAGGTCTGTAAGTTTCTGGACATGATTTCAAAGGATGGGAGGTGCTGCCTTCTGAGGCTTGAGTCCTTGTCAGGTGGCCTTGCCGGCCCACACCGCTCTCTGCGCCTCCCCAGCCCTTCCTCTCAGCCTCCCCTCTGAACTTCCCTCTTCCGCTGTCACACCCCTGCTTTTCTCCCCTCACTGGCTTGCATTGTCCTTCCATCCCTGTGACCTGTGGCTTTCTGTCCCTTTAGGGCAGGAGTCAGCAAACTTGGTTTTGCAAAGAGCCAGAGAGTAATAATTTAGGCTTTGTTTGCCATACTATCTCTATTGTAACTTTTCAACTTTCCTGTTTCAGCACAAAGACAGACAAAGATAATACATCAGCAAATGGCCAGTGGCTGTGGTCCAATAAAACTTTATTTTCAGAACAGGTGGTGGGCTGTTTTTGGCCCCCAGGCTGTAGTTTGCGGACTCTCTTTTCACAGCATGAAGGGCAGCAGATGTATTGAGGAAAATAATTTCCTGATTTGCCGCCCACTTGATGTATATTATTCTTTGTACCAGTGAAGTTTTTTCTAGGTAGAAATTTCAGAATTTTCTCTAAGTCTATAAAATCCTGGCTCAGTTATCCAATCTTTATTGTATTTTGAAGATAAAGTGGCATTTTGAAAGCCACATGCAGATCCCGTTAGCTGATGGCTCGTAAGAATAAACGCTATGCAGGGCCTGCAGTAAGTGCAGAAGGTGCTGGAAACACAGTGTGAGCTGAGCTCTCTGCTACTGGAGAAAAGGGAACAGTTGACATGTGAGAGGATGAGCCTCACTGAGGCCCAGCACTGCAGGAAATGTACCAACGAGACCATTTTTCCATGTTCTTTATTATGACTCTTGCCATCTTGTCTAATATACACTGTTTGGTTCTAATAAATTGTATTATAGCATTTATAGCGTGTGATTCCACAGTGTGGTCCATGTGAAGTCATTTGTGTCTTGATGAGACCTTTTATCTTTTTCTTTTCTTTCTTTGAATGGGTGGAGGTCTTCGCAACTGTAGCAAGCTGACCTTCTGAACATTCCAGGTAGTGTCCTATAGTTGGGAGGAGAGAACCAAGAACCAAGTTTACCATTAAGCTTTTTGTTCAGCTTAGCACTTTAGGTTTTAGTTTTAGGGCTACTTAGATCTCGGTTGTGGGTATTGAGGTGAGAAAGATTCCCTGTAGGAAAGAACAGTATCCTCCCTGCTGTGTGGGTACCAGATGAGCAGGCTGGCCTGAGTGCCATGAACTCACCATCCCTAACTCTTCCATAGGAACGACATTGAATAAGAAACAATGAGAATAGTATTTAGATTTAAAAGCAGTGGTTCTTAAAACCCATTGCCTTGTGTTTCGTGGTTTCATCTGCAGCTACATTGGACGTAGTAAGTGAAATTACATAATGATCCTTGAAACCGTAATGACGAAGGTCTGAATAACGACATTATTCCTCACCTATATAATACTGTAAAATGTATGTCAATCCTGTTGGGATTAATAAACGCATCTAACATTCTTTCTAAATTTATAGTGGGTTTTTTTTTTCACTGTATTATTGTCTCAATCAACAGATAGTAAAAGTATGAGTAATACTGTCATTGCATGAAATGATTTAAATGTGTAAAGGGGTCTTCTTGGTAAAGTGACAGAAGGAGCTGAGCAAGGGGTTGAGAATGAGACTGACTTTATTCCCCTTCTTCTTCCTCATTTAGCTTTGGATGCTGGTAAGGTGGGCCTGGCGCTGTCTCTCGCCCTCACGCTCACGGGGATGACCCAGTGGTGCGTCTGGCAAAGCGTCAGAGTTGAGAATATGGTGATGTTTGTCTTATCTTACTGTTCTTAGCTTTTTCAAGTCTCCTTGCCATTAAATGGCGTAAAAGCAATTCTTATGTAAAATAGTAAAACTGTTATTTTTACGTCATAGGTAAAAGATTTTTTATATCCTCCTCCATCTGTTTAAAGTTAATGTAAAATAAGATATATATCTTTTTCTCAGTCTTATGTGTGCCGTATCAGCAGGTTTTATATTCATCACAAGCTGTCTTCAAATATAATAAATGTCTCTGTAAGAGGGAGGTTCTGAAATCCTGGAGAGAATATAAGCTAATTTCTTAGGGGTTTATTTTTGTTTCTTAAGGGGTAATTCCTCATTTTTGGTAAAAGAAGAATTCAGTATTTTGAGGTTTGTTTATTTAATTAATAGGTTCCTCTGTCCCCCATTTTAGCATTTGATCTTGTATGTGTTGAACACCTGAATTTGCTGGTGCCCCTTTTTTCTGGTAGGATAAGCCCCGTCTCAGAATGAGCTATCAAAGGTGTCAAATTAAAGTTGTTTAAAAGGCCTTAGTCAATATGTAAATTATAGTCTCTTTTGAATATTAGCATCTTTTCTCCTAAAGGGAGAGAAACAATAAAAACAAAATCTTTCCATTTGTTTCTTCTAATAGAGTAGAAAGTGATTAATTATTAAAATGAGGTTTGATGGCCATCCAGTCAGCTCATCTATAACAGATGGCCCTTCTGTAGCAACACATTACTGATGGGCGTCCATAAGTATTCTTTTCTTTAACAAAATTCTTTTGCTTTTTATTCAGGTGTGAAAAGTGGATCAATAAAATCTTTGCATTCATTTCTCTAATTCTTGAATTTTAATATAATGTTGAAGGAAGTAGCTGTAAAGGACAGCGTTACAAGGCCATAAACAAGTTTGCAAATCATCAAAGGCTTCATCAAACTCCTACTTCTGTCCTTTGTGTTTGCTAAAACCTTAGATATTCTTACCCATAGAAACGCGGATGTAAAGATAGAAAAGCAGAATGCTTCATGTACAATCTCTGAACATCCATGAACAAGACCTTCCCTTCCTAACTCATGTGATGTCATGTGTGTTTCAGATGATTTCAGTAGAAAGAGTGATTGAATATACAGACCTCGAGAAAGAAGCACCCTGGCAATACTTCTTTCATCTTCCACCACCAGCCTGGCCCCATGAAGGACAGATTTTCTTTCAAAATATTAACTTAAGGTACAGCTTGGATGGGCCTCTGGTATTGAAGGACCTGTCATTAACTCAAGAGGAAAGGTTTGTTTAAGCCATTTGCCTCTTTAAAATCCAGCTTAAGATTGAGCACTGCATCTGCTGTTGGGTTCCTTGCCAGTGTGTCAGGGGGACTCTTTGTTCCTCCTGGATGCAGATTAGATCAGTGACACTGGAGGTGGATCTTTCTTGGAAACCGACCATGGAATGGGGATCCCAGCATTTCTTTCCCTGTGTGGGGAGCTGCCTCACGGTGGTTGGTGGGCCCTGGAGCTTCTTCGAAATGCAGAATCTCAGGCCCACCCAGACTTCTTGACTCAGAATCACATTTAAACAAGACCTCCCAGTAAAGTCATTTCTCTCCCATAGGCAGTTTTTTAAAAAATTTATTTATTTTATTTATTTATTTTTATTTTTGGCTGTGTTGGGTCTTCATTGCTGCATGCAGGCTTTCTCTAGTTGCGGCGAGCGGGGGCTACTCTTCGTTGCAGTGCGTGGGCTTCTCATCGCGGTGGCTTCTCTTGTTGCGGAGCACGGGCTCTAGGTGCGTGGCCTTCAGTAGTCGCGGCACGCGAGCTCAGTAGTTGTGGCTCACAAGCTCTAGAGCACACGCTCAGTAGTTGTGGCACATGGGCTTAGTTGCTCCGTGGCATGTGGGATCTTCCTGGACCAGGGCTTGAACCCGTGTCCCCTGCATTGGCAGGTGGATTCTTAACCACTGCGCCACCAGGGAAGTCCCTCATAGGCAATTTTTGATGACTGATAACCTGTGATTTCCAAGAAATGTCCTTTGACAGTTTGCAGTTGAGCTCATGAATCACCTAACCCCTCTTGTGTCTTAGCATGCGGCTCTAGAAAGTTCTGTGCCACTTACCCTACAAATTTACTTACTTTTATGTTCTGCAAATCATGCCTTTACACTATAATCTAATTCTGTGTGATTCCAGTGCATTTATTTGCATCTTTTCAGTGGAGTCTGTCTTCATCACAGGCAGTTTTCATCCTTCTGTCTGGCCTTCCCCACACCAGCCTCCTGTGGGCACTACAGGTATTTCACCACAGGCTCGGCCCTGCCTGGGCTCGGAGTCAGAGACAGCCCAGTGTAGCAGTGTATGTGCAGCTCTTTCACTACCTGACGGGCTCAAAACTTACTCTTGCTGCCCGAAGCAGGGCACTAGGTCTGTTTGGCCTGTTTCCCAGGCACTAGGTGCCCACTTAGCTGCAGGTTTCTCTGCCAGCGCAGCTGTGGGTGCCAGTTCTTCCTGCTGACAGCCAGCCCCCCTGAGCTCAGGTACCTGTGTCCATGTCTTGCTTCAACTGTCTGGCATAGGATCTATATGGTAGGCCTGTTCTTTTAACTGCAGCTACACCTCTCCCCACTTTCTCTTCTAGCTACACAGAGGGGCATAATAAGCTGCCAGGCCATCCAGGTGATGAGGAGGCCTCAGCAGAATGGAAAAGAGGCCGATGCGTCCTGTGACTCACGGGCTCTGTTGTTTCAGGCAGACTAATTAATCTCACTAAGTCTCAGTCTTTTCTTTTGCAAAATGGAAGTGATAGGACCTAACCTCTAGGGTTGTTGAACAACTTAAACAAGATAAGGCACTGCGCAGTGGTTGAGAGTCTGCCTGCCGATGCAAGGGACACGGGTTCGTGCCCCGGTCCGGGAAGATCCCACGTGCCCCGGAGTGGCTGGGCCTGTGAGCCATGGCCGCTGAGCCTGCGCATCCGGAGCCTGTGCTCCGCAACGGGAGAGGCCACAACAGTGAGAGGCCCACGTACAGCAAAAAAAAAAAAAAAAAAAAAAAAGATAAGGCACTTAAAGCACCAGCATGGAGACTAGCATAGAGTAAATTCCTGGACAAAGATTGTTGTCATTTTCATAGTGTGTAAATGACCGTAACCACTTACACTGTATCAATTGTCTGCCCCATGAAAATGTGAGGTTGGCCATTTGCAATTGTATGTATGGTGGCAGAATCCATCTGTCATGTCTTTTCTCTGCCCAACTTATTGTATACCTAAATAATATGGTAATCAATTTTCCATAAATTTCTCCAGCTTGAGTTAAAAATCTCAGCTCCCTACATAATGCCTCTTTGTCTCAGGACACCACAGGTAACACCAAGGCAAATCCAATACAGATCCTGCTGTCAACACATACAGTCCAGTTGAAAAAATAAGAAAAAGGCCATATTAGCTTTGTAAGATAGAAGGAGGTCATCATTTTTATGGAACTTTAGAACAAGATGGTATCACGTCTGTTAGGGTTGAGAGGAGTCCACAGGAGGGGTCAGGGAGAGCATTTCTGAGGAATTAGGCCGGTGAGGCAGACTTAGTGATATATGGTTAGGGTTTCAGCAGGTGGAAATGCATGTGGAAGGCATTCCGGAAGGTGGGACCAGCATGAGCAAAGGCACGATGCCCTGATTTAGTGAGTGAAGAACCAGGCACCTGCAGAGCATTCAGGGAAAAGAACTGCCAGGTGTATAGCACACATTTTCACGTTCAGCCGTCACGACTACCTAGTAACCCCAGGGAAGCTGCCTCGTGGAGGTGGAGGATGGAGAGGTTAGCGGGGACAGTTTTGTAGCAGACTTCCCGGGGTGGAGTGACGGGCACAGAGCCACCTTCGGGAGTTTAATCTGAGAAGTGGGTGCACGTGGACCAGGGTGGGCAGATGCGGAAGGCAGGGAGCCAGTAGCTGCTGGGCCTCCAGCAAGACGTCAGGGAAAGTGATTCCACTTTTTGGAATCAAACTGATGTCAAGTAAAACAAAGTTATAACACCTGGGTTTGCGAATGTGCGCCTAGTTTACGAGTGGGAGTAGAAAATGGTATCCGGAATTCCCTGGCAGTCCAGGGGTTAAGACCCAGCACTTCCACTGCCGTGGGCCCGGGTTCAATCCCTGTATGGTTAGCTAAGATCCCCCAAGCCATGCAGCATGGCGAAAATAAAAAAAAAAAAGAAAACAAAATATTATCATATTTCTGGAGGGTAGGTTGGCGCTACTTAACAGCTTCCTCTGAAAATGTTCATACCTGTTTCTTATCAGTTGCACACCTAAGAATTTCTCTTAAGGAAATAATGAAGGTTGTTTGCAAAGATTTAGCTTCAACGATATTTAACAGAGTTATTTATAATAGCAAAATATTGGAGACCATCTACCTATCCAGAAATTGGGGGTTTGTTAAATAAATGATCACATATACTGTAATATTATGTAGCCATTAAAATAAATACTTTTATGAAATACTGAATGAAAGCAGATTACAACAGTATGTTCATGTTAATCCCATTCTGTTTAAGTATATGAGCTTGTATCTTCAAGAACACATCAACATACAAGTCTAGAAGGTAAAAACATCAACATCTTAAGAATGGTTTTTAATCAGAGTGCTGGGGTATAGCTAGAATTTACTTTTCAAATTCATTTGCACTGATTATGATCAAGGAAAGAGTTTCAAAGGAGAGAGACTCAGTGAGGGACTGAGTCATGAAACACTGCAGTAGTAGAATCTGCAGGGCTAGGCACCATGCTGGACTCAGGGAAAGCTGGAAGTAAGGTGGACATTGTGAGCCCATGAGCCTGAGAAAGAAGTAATGAGAGTAGAGTGGGGAAGTCAGAGGAAGCAGCTGTTTTGTGTGGGGCATTGGGTGTTGATCATGTTGAGTTTGACGTATGGAGAGAGATCCAGGGGCAAATGTCTAACAAGTTGGTGTGTTAGTCAGAGGCCAACCCTGGCCTGTTTGAGAAAATAGAATGGGTATGTCACAAAGCACTGAAATAAGACTGTCTCCAAGTGTTTTTGGTGTTAGGAATGTAAACTTACTGATACTGGTGACACTCTCCATGGGCAATTGGAAAAACCCATTGGTGTCCTGGGAAAGACTTCCAGAGTGGATTTTGATAACTGAATGGTAGGAATAGCCAGAGCAGATCTTCTCTGAGTTGCCTTTTTCTTAGGTACTCACGGTGTGAGCAGCCCTTGGTGCCCCTGCATATCTCTGCCATTTACCAGGAGTCTGCAGATGTTCCAGTTTGCACAGATGGATCAGTTTCAGGAGAGCTGATAGTATGGGAACATAATGCACATTCTCACAGACACAGTTCTCGCCTGTGTCCTGATGTGTGTTGGTTTACATCTGAGAACACCCAGGAATACAGGCATACCTGGTTTTATTGTGCTTCACAGATCGTGCATTTTTTACAAATTGAACATTTGTGGCAACCCTGCATCAAGCCAGTCCACTGGCCCCATTTTTCTTACAGCCTTTGTTCACTCCCTGTCTCTGTGTCACATTTTGGTAATTCTTGCAATATTCCAGATCTTTTCAATATATTGTATCTGTTATGGTGATCTGTGGTCAGCATTCTTTAATGTTACTACAACCCAGTGAAGTCTCAGATGATGGTTAGCACGTTTTTTTAGCAATAAAGTATTTGAAAATTAAGGTATGTACATTGTTTTTCAGATATAATGCTATTGTACACTTAGTAGGCTACAGTATAGTGTAAGCATAACTTTTATATGTACAGAGAAACAAAAAAATTCTTATGACTTGCTTTATTTGGAGATATTCACATTTTTGTGGTCGTCTGGAACCAAATCCACCATATGTTCAAGGTCTGCCTGTACCCAGAACACATGAGTCATATCTATATACATGCACTAGGGCCTGCCTATATGCAGAGAATGGCCCATCTATATTACATATATTAGGGTTTAACATAAGGCATAAAATGGCTACAAAATAATAAAACTAGCTAAACTCACTTTTCTTACGTTTAATCTCTATTGAGATAAGTTCTTTTTTGAAATGCTACGATTGATTTTACAGACAAAGATTCGAAACTTTGGAGGCATTCAAATGAGAAAATATGAAAAGTTCCCAGCATTCTGATGACATGCTCAGAAAGACTTAGTTCTCCTCTGTTTAAAGCCGTGAGTTTTAAAAATTTGCTGAATAAATTTACAAATGATTGAAAACATGTCTTACACCCCACATCAATTCCAAATTTCTGAATAGAAATGAAATCATCTCTTGGGAAGCTCCCACCACGGAGTAGGGCAAGCTTATTGATTAAAAAGGCCGGTTTCTGTATAGTACATGTTTGGATACACACAGTTAAAAGCCAGTTTTTACAGTATAGTTTTATTCCCGACCAGCATTTTACCTGCATTATATTGATTCCTTAATCTTATTCTTAATGCACTTAATTTCTCTCTACTTTGGCTTTAATAACTAGACTGAAACTTGCATGTGTCTTTCCAAGGAGCAATTGTAAGTATTAAGTTGTTTATAAAATGCCTTTTGAACTGCTCAGATGAAAGGTCCCATATAAGTAGCAAATGTTGTTTGTGTTGATCTCATTATGTGTACTTTGTCTGCTGGATACTGTCTTTTACGACACTGAGACCTGCATTTTATAATTTTAAGATGTTTCCTTTCAAGGTAGGGTATAATTACGATATCTAACATCAGGAAGTGATTTAGTTTCTCTACCAAAGAATAATTCCTCTTAAATAGTAGATCCCTGAGAAAATGAGTACTTGTTTATGTGTAACACTTCTTACTCGACTTGTTGATATCTCTGTAAAATTACCCACATGATTCTCAAGGTCAAAATGCCTAGAGAGTAGGAATAACGCTAATTTAAAAGTGAACTTCTTATGGGCCACTTAGGGTGGGGTCCCCAACCCCCAGGCCGCAGACTGGTACCAGTCGCAGCCTGTTGGGAGCTGGGCCGCACAGCAGGAGGTGAGCAGCGGGCGAGCAAGTGAAGCTTCGTCTGCCGCTCCCCATCACTCCCCATCGCTCACTCGGACTACCGCCTGAACCATCCCCACACCTCCAGCCCCGCCTGTCCGTGGAGAAAGTGTCTTCCACGAAACCAGTCCCTGGTGCCAAAAAGGGTGTGGACTGCTGACTTAGGAGACTGCTAGCTTTTTTTTTTTTTTAAGTTTTATATATATATATATATATTTAACGTCATTATTAGAGTATAATTGCTTTACAGTGGTGTGTCAGTTTCTGCTTTATAACGAAGTGAATCAGCTATACATATACATATGTCCCCATATCTCTCGTTTTGTTTTTTTTTGTTTTTTTGCGGTGCGCGGGCCTCTTACTGTTCTGCGGAGCATGGGCTCCGGACGCGCAGGCTCAGCGGCCATGGCTCACGGGCCCAGCCGCTCCGTGGCATGTGGGAGCTTCCACGAACCCGCGTCCCCTGCATTGGCAGGCGGACTCTCAACCACTGCGCCACCAGGGAAGACCCTGTCCCCATATCTCTTGCATCTCCCTCCCTCCCACCCTCCCTATCCCACCCCTTTAGGTGGTCACAAAGCACCGAGCTGATCTCCCTGTGCTATGCGGCTGCTTCCCACTAGCTGTTTTACGTTTGGTAGTGTATATATGTCCATACCAGAGACTGCTAGCTTTTCACTGCCAGTAGATTGATTCTGTTATTTTTAACTCTTTTTGGGACCAGGGGGTCTCAACCAGGGGACATTTGTCAATATCTGATATTTTTGGTTGCCAAAATGTGGGAGGTGCTCCTGGTATCTAGTGGGTAGAGTCCCTGGCTACTGCTAAACATCCTACAGTAATACACAGGACAGGCCCCTGACCCCCCAACAATGAATTATCTAGCCCGTAATGTCAACAGTGCCATGGTTGAGAAACTTACAGACTACTCTTTATGTAGAACGTTAAAAATTCATCTTCAACAGCCAGGGTTTCTCCTAGGTTTGTTGCATATTGTGAATTCTTAATCCCGATGGATCTCTTTACAGGTTGGCATTGTGGGAAGAACAGAGGCTGGAAAAAGTTCCCTCATCGCTGCCCTTTTTAGACTGTCAGAACCTGAAGGTGAAATTTCCGTCTACGGGATCTTGACAACCATAATTGGATTTCACCATTTAAAGAAGAAAATGTCAGGTGTACCTCAGGTATGCACATCAGAACATTCTCACATGTTCTTTTTATAAGGCACCTAAGTTTAGCTGCTTTTAAGTTGATTAGTATTTTCAAATTGCATGAAAGTGTTGATCCGTTTTCCCCCAATAGAGCATATTTTTAGCAGCAGGTGTTTTCAGCAGATACTTTCCTCAGATACCAGGGTTTGTTTGTTCTTTCATTTGTTTTGTGTGCATGTGATTTAATAACTGACCCAGACAAATTTCTGGACTCACACTTCCTCAGGTGCCACAGTTTTATCCACTGATAACCACAGAATACTGAGAACAAACTGATAAATGATTAGTGTAGCACTGGAGAGGTTCTTATAGAAAAACACGAATTTCAAGTGTCTTAAAGATGGAATTTTGCTGTAGGAAATAAAGCTACCATTTCAAAGGTGATTATCTCCCTGGAAGGCTTTGTGAAACTGTAGAGCTTTGAGGATTACAGGGTGTATTGATGCTCTGGGGAACCTTTTAGAATTCAACCCTTAATAAATGATTAACCAGGCAGGCAGTACAGAATGACGAGGAAGAGCACAGGACACGGAATCCCATCTCTGTGCACCTCAGTCTTCTCCCCCTTGCAAGGCAGCTGACAGGACCAACTCTTCGAGCTGCTGTGAGGACTACATAAGTCAGTGCATGTGGAGTGCTTCCCGTAGACCCCATACACAGTTGCTGTGACGGTGGAGCGTTGAATTGACCTTCTCTTCCTGGGCTCTGATTCTGTTCTCTTTTGTTCTGCTTCTTAAAGACGTATGACTTTCAGGTATTGTCTTAGAGATTGGATTATCTGCACAGTAGAAGCTCCTGCCATTCCTTATGGTTCACCCACCCAACATAATTCAGTGAATTTTACTGAGCAATTACTATCCTCCAGGTATATACCCAAGGGCGACATAGGCCCTGTGCCTTCATCTGCCATCCTGCCCTCTGCTTTGACAGCCTTGCTGATTTTCTTTTTTTAATTTTGAGGGTTTTTTTTTAAATTCTCTACGATTATCTGGCCATCAAGGGAAGCTCAGAAAAACACCCTCTTGAGATGAGAAACACAAAGAGGAGTCGACACAAAAAGATCCAGGCAAGTGTTCATCCTGGAATGTGCGTATAATGAGCTCTGTAATGCCTGTTGATTAGGAACCATATACAACATGGCACCCCAAGGAAGGAGAACGTGGACTTGTGTCTTATGACTGAGTACAGCAGTTGCTACCTACCCCTGGCCTCTAAAATACCTGGAATTACTGTAAGTATTTTTGAAATCAAGATGTTCCTTCCAGACCACAATGAGATGCCACTTCACACCCCTTAAGATGTCTACTATCAAAAAAAAAAAAAGAAAGAAAGAAAATAACAAGTGTTGACTAGGATGTGGAGAAATTACAATCCTCGTGCATTGCTGGTAGGAGTGTAAAATGGTGCAGCCACTGTGGAAAACAAGATGGAGTTTCCTCAAAAAAGTTAAAAATCTAATTACTATATGATCCAGAAATTCTGCATAAGGTTATAAATCCAAAAAAATTGAAACAGCGTCTTGAAGAGCTCTCTGTACGAGCACGTTCATAGCAGCATTATTCTCAATTGCAAAAAGGTGGAGGCACCCAAGGGTGCGTCAACAGATGAATGGATAAACAAAATGTGGTACATATATATACAGTGCAGTATTATTCAGCCTTATAAAAGAAGGAAATTCAGACACATGCTACAACACAGATGAACCTTGAGAACATTATGCCAAGTGAAGTAAGCCAGTCGCAAAGGACAAATACGGTATGATGCTACTAATATGAGGTACCTAGAATAGTCAGCTCATGGAGACAAGAAGTAGAATGGTGGCTGCCAGGATGGAGAAGTGGGGAGTTGTTGTTTAATGGGTACCGAGTTTCACTTTTGCAAGATGAAAGGAGTTCTGTGGCTGGATGGTGGTGAGGGCTGTACAACAATGTGAATGTATTTAATACCACTGAACTGTACACTCAAAAATGGTTAAAGTGGTAAATTTTATGTGTATTTTACCACAATTAAAAAGAAAATTTTTAAGAGATCCCTTTCAGGAAAACTGGGAAGAACTTTTCAGTACATATAATCCCTGTATTTAAAGATTCCCTCTGGCTATTAAGATTCGTGACTTGATGATTACAGTAGAAAATAAATGAGTTTAGATTCCCAAGTTTTAAGTTTTGATTGTACCCATTTCTGAAATGGCCAAATGAGACTATTTAGCAGAAATAAGGGGCATCTCTCTAAAGTCCTTTCATATTCTCGGATGAAAGGATCTGGAAGCGTGCCCTGCATTATCTTTAACGTTTCTTAATAAGAAAAGGCTGTATGTGTGTGTACGTAAAGAACTCTATAAATAAATAAAGCTCGGATGATTCTTGGCTCTGCCGAAAATGTTTGGAAGCACATCTGAGCGAAGACTAAATATACCTTGACATCACCAGGGTTTGGTTCTATTCCATCAGTTTCCACCCTACTTTTGAGCATGCTCTGTGTACACACTCCAGAGAGTGTGTTTATAAAACAGTGCTAAGCTTTGTATCCATGTAGATAATGATCACCAACCACTGTAAACACAGAACCTTTATTTTCCACTTTTCATGTGTTTGTCTCCAGGGCGCAGTGTTGGTTGATTAGAGGGAGAGAATCTGTAGACACTGTGCAATGTGTAAAGGTCCCAGGAAATCATTCAGGAGGCAGCCAGGGATAGAATATTTAAGAGCGTAGACTGAGTGTCAGTATGACCCACATCTTTATTCCTGTTCTGCCTCATACGAGTGTGTGACCTTGATGAAGTCACTCGGCTTCCAAGCTTCATAGTCCTCCTCATTCTTAAACCAGGTCTGGGAACTGCGGCCACACAGATGTGCTGTGAAGATGGAAGTGGGTGTGAAAACATTTGTGGCCCATGCCTGGTTCTTGGGAACACTCAGTCGGTAGGAACTATCATTGTTCTTAAGGATCAGGGCACTAAACTTTTAGGGATTATTTCTATTTATATAAAAAGAGTAACACATTTTGGACTGACTTTGCTCTTTAATTTCTGTTAATGTGTCCTTGGTGATTTTCTTTATATTTATTGCTTATAATAGAAACCAAATTGTTTCCATCAGGATTGCAGCCCATATGGAAATTCAAATATGGGTAACACTATGAAAAGTTGTATTCTTCAAATAACTCACACATGCTAGAGTCTAAACATAAACCTATGTTTTTTAATATACAAAATTATCACTTCTAAAAAACAAAACCAAATTGTTTATATAAATTCAAAGAGTAAAGCAAAAAAAAAACCACAGTAGGAGTTTTGGGGAAAAGCATTAACAGAGAAATGTATCTAATATTTTCTACCAAGAACAAGAAGAGAGAATATCACTTTTTTGTATTCTTTTGATTTCTGGCTCCCCTCCCACCAGGTTCTTTCCTGACTACCACCCTGTACCCACCTGTACTTTCCAGTTCCCCACCAAGACCTCTGGCATTTTTTTCTCATCCCTCCCCACATTCTCGACTATATTCTTCCTCTCCTTGAAGAGAGGGCCTGTGTCTCTCATTTCTGTTGCTCTAGTGCTTGTTGCAGGCCCCGACAAGTTACACAAGTATTAATAATAAGTCCTGACAATCGCAGAATCCTTAACACATTTTAGCCTCTTTTCCTAATTCTCTCGTCATCCTTATCTGACAGATTTAAAAACCAAGGCATTGTGAGCTTACCCCACTTACCAAGTAAGCAGCAGAGCCAGGATTCAAATTGTGTGTGTGTTTGTTTTTTTTTAAATTGAAGTATAGTTGATTTACAGTGTTTCAGTTGTATAGCAAAGTGATTTTATATATATAAAAGTTATATATACGTAAATTTTTCAGATTCTTTTGTAATACAGGTTATTGCAAGATATTGAATATAGTTCCATTTGCTACAAAGCAGGACCTTGTTTATCTATTTTATATATAGTAGTGTATATTTGTTAATCCCAAATTCCTAATTTATCCCTCCCCGTCAATTTTCCCTTTGGTAACAATTAGTTTGTTTTCCGTGTCTGTAAGTCTATTTCTGTTTTGTAATTAAGTTTATTTCTATCACTTTTTTAGATTCCACATATAAGGGATATGTGATATTTGTCTTTCTCTGTCTGACTTACTTCACTTAGTATGATAATCTCTAGCTCCATCTGTGTTGCTGCAAATGGCATTATTTCATTCTTCTTTATGGCTGAGTAATATTCCTGTGTGTGTGTGTGTGTGTGTGTGTGTGTGTGTGTGTGTGTGTGTGTATTATTTCTATGTCTTCGCTATTGTAAGTAGTACTGCTGTGGACACTGGGGTGCATGTATCTTTTTGAATTAGGGTTTTCATCTTTTCCAGATATATCACCAGGAATGGAATTTCTGGATCATATGTTAACTCTTTTTTCAGTTTTTTAGGGAACCTGCATACTGTTTTCCATAATAGCTGCACCAATTTACATTCCCACCAATGGTGTAGGAGGGCCCCCCTTTCTCCACATCATCTCCACCATTTATTTTTTGTAGATTTTTTAATGATGGCCATTTTGACTGGTGTGAGGTGGTACCTCATGGTAATTTTGATTTGCATTTCTCTAATAATTAGTGACATTGAGCATCTTTTCATGTGCCTGTTGGCCATCTGTATGTCTTCTTTGGAGAAATGCCTGTTTAGATCTTATGCCTATTCTTTGATTGGGTTGTTTGGTTTTTTTGATATTGAGCTCTATAAGTTGTTGTATATACAGAAATCTGTTGGATTTCTGTACACTAACAACAAAATATCAGAAAGAGAAATTACGGAAACAATCCCATTTACCACTGCATCAAAAAAAAAAAAAAAAAAAGAAAACCTAGGAATAAACCTACTTAAGGAGGCAAAAGACCTGTACTCCAAAAACTTTTAAGATTCTGATGAAAAAAATGGAAG